TAATTGACAGAATCACAGTTGCCCAACAAATACACCTCAATATCTCACAAACACACTACCAGCTCACACCAAATTGACAGAAACACTACAGCCACTACCTCACCCTTATGTAGGACCCTTTCTCTTAAAATAGTCTGCCACACTCAATAAATTCAGTCTAAAACTTCTTCAACAACACTCATACATTATATAAAACACTATCCAACACTAAAGACCCAATCAACACTACAGCTAATGCGAGCTATGCTCTCACTTGCAACAATTGCACATGCCATATACATAGGACAAACACGGCCTTAAATTCAACACAGAGATCAAAGAACACGAACAACTATGGAAAAACAACATACACTGTCTCACGAACTTCGATCACCTAATGTTAACAACACAATACAAAATTTCCGAATTCTAAAATTGAAAAACAGGTACTGGACGGAATAAAATAAGCAGCCCTGCACATACACAACGTCCTCAAAGACAGAACATGACGTGTCTTAACCACAAATCCCTGAACTCTCTTCAACTCTGCTAAATTAGCAAGTTAACACACCCTAACCCACCCCCACCTCCCTACTCCACGACTTCGCTCGCACGACCGCCTCTCAAGCCTCACCGCACCCCCGCGTTTACACCCTCACCGGCACCCCACCCCCCTCTTCCCACCCCCACCCGCTGCGACCGGCTGTGCACACACTAAAAAATACGCCGAACTTTGTTTTCGCCCGAAGCTGCAAGGTATGTACGACCTAGTTTGCTACGCATCTTGTATACAATGCCTTCATCCTGTAAATAATATTTGTATTCAAATTTAGCTCTGAGGAGATCGCTATGCGATCGAAACGATCATAAGCTGAATAAAAAGTATTGATACCAGACAACATCTTTATTTATCATAATAATATAAGGTATCTATTTCACCAGCGATCTAATTAATAATTAAATGTTACAACATTAAAAAAAGTAAAAAAAAATGTTTCAAAGACTTGTAACAAGGTGATTTTTTTGGTACATGACTGCATTTAAAATTCCCGCTAATATTGTGATCCAAAACTATGTCATAAGTTCATTGGCTAAAGGCTGATACGATGACGCATAAGACTCCCCGACGTAATTCACAGAACTCAGATATCCAAGGTCAAAATTTAATAAAAATGTTGGTGCTATTTTTGAGAGAAAAATGTTTAAACAAAATATAAAACACTATATTCCATTCAAAAATACTCGAAAGTATGTGAATTTTCGAAAAATTGACGACCGATCTTTTACTTAAAATTTTGGTTGTAGGAAGATGTTGAAATTTTTTGAACTTTCGCAATTTTCGAAAAGCAGGGTTTTCAACAAACATGAGATCTGCACAATCCTTTTTAACGTCCTTGACACCATACAATATAAATCCGTTTAACCAAAAATGTTGGTGCCATTTTTTTATTTTATTTAATTTTGAAAATGTACCAGGGACTTCATGTCAAGTATCCCAAGAATTAAAATTTCGGTTTTAATTCAAGGGACAGCGACATCAGCCAGATCGATGGGGGAATATCACTTTTGGAAAAAATCCAGACGGACAAACATTTTGCCATCAATAGATTTTTCGGTACCAAGGACCCACAAAACAAGGATTCTGGTTATACCACTAGTAAGAGAATTTTTTTCTTTTAACTGTAGCAACTGGATTTATTCAGTTTTTCGATACCAGGCAGCGGCATAAGTTCCATAAGGACAGTGGCATTAGTTCTCCAGAGGAGGCCCTTGGACCAACACAATACAGGGTCCCCTAACTAAAGACATGTCATTAATTTAATGTTTAAGTTGTAACATCTTCCAGGTTCCACTACTTTTAGGAAAGATGAATGGAAGTTCTTTGCAGAAAGCCATTGTTTGCGAGTACAATTTGAATGAGCAACAAATTTTCTATGTAAATTAACGTATCTTTGGTTTTAATAAAGTACTCTATAGACTCATGCTTAAACTAATTACAAACCCTCTCAATAGTTGGCAATCCGGCACCAATATGCGCAAGCAATGGCCAGATTAGCAAGACTAGTGGAGCCCAAATTGGCCAAAAAAGCTCCAGACTACCTTTAGTCATAATTCAATTTGGTACAGTGTGAACACAAGGAACTGTATTAGTCGCCCAAGTTTTCTTGATATACAAGCACCCCAATCCTCACCCAGCGCTGAATAGCAGGCACGTTGAGTTACTTAGGTTCAACTCGGAACAGCTTGTACCAATTTTCAATTCTGGCAACAACCCCCTCGTACTTTCAAAACAATCGTAGCGATTCTCATGGGACGCTTAGGTTTATGCCCACAGTTGGTACGCCCTTTTAAGCCGTGACGTAGCCAGAGCCCTCCTCTCTCTGCTGTGGAATATCAAGAAAACTTGTGCGTATAGTACACTGTTCACACTCCCACTCCCCCTCCCCCTCCCCCAACTCAGTTTTATCTGATATTTTGGCATTAAATAAAAAAATAAAGACAAATTTCTATTGATGAACAAAGGTACCATTTTACTGTCAAATGTATTACATCCTTTGATTAAACAAACACAAATGTTTTGAAACTTAAGCTTAGATTTTAGTGCAGATTTTATCTATTACAGAATGATTTCACTTATACATTAGCCAACCACTTACAATCACAGACTTCCCAGGATACCTGCCAGAAAACACACAATCATATCACAACTCTGACAACACTCCAGAGATTTTGACAGTTACTCAAGATTGCTCCAATCAAAGGGAGATCTACAGTCTCTCATAAATTCTAGTAAGAAAGGGATAAAACTCACCTCATAACGATTTTCTAAATTACCACTACCATAACGTTCAGGCCCAACTTCCACTTTACAATGTTCGATTTGAATAAATCCCTGAATAACAGGTAATACCCATGGGTCTGCTAATGGATTCTGTAAAATAAATTTTGATGTAAATCAATAATGAAACAACATAGGTATTGAAAGGAAATCCTAATTCATGCATTCAAGAATTCTAAGCATATAAGCTAATAAGGCAACCAACAACTCATGCAAATTACGTTATTTAAATATGCAAAAGAAAAACTTCTTTCTGATATTATTTCTACCAAATGCACAAAGATTTTGTATTTTTCATTATTATTTATATTTATTTACATTATTTAACTTGGACTATTTCATTATTCACCTGATATTTTATTTTAGGACATTATCAATTAAAGTAATCATGTTAAAAACATACATTTAAGTTGATAATATCCTGAAGCATGTTTTTGTTCCAGAAAAATCTTTCGTCCACAGATTTCCACATCACATTGTGATTTATTTCTTCATTGTTCTTTCTCAAAACGTTCTGTCTTTGTAATGAATTGGTCAAATCTCCAGACAAACAAAAATAAAATGAATCAGTGTCTGTAAAAATTCTCTGCAACTCTTCTAATATGCGACGTTCAAATTTTTCTCTGTCTTTACTATCACGTCGCTTCCCTGATTTCACCTGGTAAAGAAGGCACATATATTAAATATAGTTTTGGAAATTCAACAAAACCATTAATATTTATTTTTTTATACCACAATTCATTATATTTTTTTCATTCATGAAAAGAATACCTGTGATGTTGCTAATGCTGCAGCTTGTTGTGTAGTATTCTTTATAGTATTTGTTGCAGATTTAATAGTGCCCCATGTCTTAGCAAAAGCAGCTTTTTGATGGATATCAAAAATGCCACCACTAGAACCTGAAGCTTTGCTGAAGGTACTTGCAGTGTGTTTCTTGCAAGGCTGGAGACTGATTTCATTGTTTTCATTACTAAGTCCCAAAGGTAGAAACACAACAGACTTTATTTTGAAAACAGTTTTACCACCAGGTAAGTCGCCGACTGGCACGCATTCTTTAATGAGAACTAAACGCGTTTCCAATGACTGAAATTCAATTTTTCCTATTATACCAAAAAACACTCCAAGACAACATGGGTCATTTGTATTCACCAAATCCCAACCTGAAAAAACAGAGTAAACTTAATTAATATATACTTGTCTCTTATTGATAAATTAATTTCCCTGACGTATTTCTTACAATAAATTGAGAGAATAAGAAATTTCAGAAATTTGACAGTTTGTGGCCTCAATTCACACTTAAAGGAAAAACACCTCTACAAGAGAGCAGAATTCTAACATTCGATAGCATGCAAACAAGCATCCCTGAAAATGCTCATGAGTCTGTGTCATCCTTGAGCAAAAAGCAAAAGTGTTTATTTTTCGTTGAAACATATTCTTGACATATTGCACTTTTGGGAGTGGTTTACCTTTCTTGGCAATAAATTCGCCTGTGACACGATCCCACCATAACCCGCATTCCCCTTTAATAAATATGTAAAACTGATCCGTTCGGAACAACTCTATGCTAGCAACACTACTGTCAGTAGGCATTTCACCGCCGAAGTTCAGAAATTTGACAGACAATAGTCCTCCACACGTTCTGCCGCCATTTTCTTGAAAGATTATCGAGAGAGAGGGAAGCACTGCTACCGAAGCAGGAGGGTGTGGGAGGGAGGAAAGGAGACTGGAGAGAGAGGTGCATATACCGGGGGAAGTAGGAACTGAGCGGGAGTTGTATCCCTTTCGATTTTTCCCGAAATCTACGTTTTAAAGCTATTTTGGGGGTTTGGATTGATTTGGTCTCCATCAAACGACAAAGGAGATACAAGACAAACTATCGAAAATGTTTTCATGTGTCGATACTTGACACGGCTTACCAGTTCATTCATAGCCTAATATATGGGCATTTCTAAAAATTCTAGGTATATTGACAAAAATGTTCAATACCATATAGCCTAATGCAACAAATTATCTACCTACCAACATAGGTATTTTCATTATAAGTCTTTTCACAGAAGTAATTAACTTTGAAAATAAAGTATGGAGAAGATGAAGAAAATAAAGTATGAATAAAGAGTGGACAATCTGCTTTTTTCACATTATATTTACTTTCTCTTTCTTCACAAAATAGGGGACATTTTATTATTCAAGAACTTTATGATGAAATGGTATGTAATCTAAAGCTGCACAGTCTAAGAGATTGAGGATAGGGGAAAAGAGAGCAGAAATGAGATTAGGTTGGAATATCCATTGAACTCGGTTCTCCTAAAAAAATATTAATCATACTCAATTGTTTCATATGAGACATTTAATAATAATAAAAAAAATATTTACATACTATTTTCTTTAATTTGCATTTACCTATTATTTTTATATTATCCTTTTTTCTGAGTTGGATAGTTGTTTTTAATATTTTACATATTATTGCAATGTATTTGATGTTTTGAATTTTAAGTAAAATTTTGAAATGTTTATTTTAATATGTGTTAAAATGTTTGTAAGAAAATATATAATTTATCGCAAATTAAAAAAAAAAAAAGGTTACTTCTTAACCCCTTCTTGTCTGCTATTTTTTGGAAGCACACCTGGCAACCCTATATGCATATGATATTTAAATCCAGTAGGTAATATGCCCAACAAAATTACAGAATTGTTAAATCAGCAAAACATCATAACAGAATCTGAAGAAACGAAACATTAACATTCAATCATTCAACGACATAGGAATGTGTAAGTATATTCAAAAGAATTTATTTTGTTTCATAAGTGTTGTTTAAGTGGATGAAATCATTATTCTTGCTTTCCTTATGTCCTATTCAGTACAGGCTGACAAACTCATCTGATAAAATTCTATTCAGCCAATTCTATATATATTTTTAATATTTTTAAACAAAACATGAAAACAACCAGATTATATTTAAATTTTGAATTTAATTATAGATTTGAGAAATAATTTTTATTTCTTTAAGATAATTAGGGAAATGAAACTTTGAAAATGTTCGGGGAGCTGCATTCATACATACGCCCAAATTGTAAAGACTTTTTTCCAAAATTTCATAAAATTGACTTGAGCCAAATGGACAGGGAATTCTTAAATTTGGAAAAAAATCCTACATGTGGATTAGACGCTTGTGGTGTTCACGGACGGACGCGGAGACAGATGGGCGAAAAAAAAAAAAAAAAAAAAAAAAGTTTCGGTATCAGGCGCCCCCAAAATTTCCGTTGAAATCTCGAAATCGATTTTCCGCAATATTGCATAACTTTCCCTATACTATGTATAATACCACTATATACGTACGTATACGGAAAATAACGGGTGATGCCACAATAGCACACACTTTCTCACGTTTTTGGAAACAGCTACGTAATATTGAAATATTACCGAGAGAGATCTTATGGTATCAACTGATGTCACTGCAGTCCCTCTGACCGGGAAGTCCTAGGTTCGAATCCCAACGGTGGCAGGAGTTTCGACACTAGCTTGTCAGCTAGGTCGAATTCAGTCCCTGTCTGGAGGATAATTCTAGCGGCCAGCTGCTCTGATGGGTAGTTTTCCGTGGTTTCTCCGATCAACACCGGGTGAATGCCGGAGCAGTGCCTTACAAACGGGTCACAAACCGCGCGCGATCCTACCCGTTCCTTGTCCTATCCTCTCTCCTAACACACACACCAACACGCACTATACATGCCGGGAGACCGGTCGGGAGCTTAGAGCTTGTCCCGGTTGGTGGTTGAGGAAAACCCCGCTAGCCAACGGTAGGTTGGCGCCAGATCTCACAATTCAGTGAGGGAAAGATTACCTCCACCTCAATCTCCCGAGCAAAACCTTGCACTACACTTACTGGTTTAATGACCCTGGAAATTTACGTGCGCGTAATCACTAAAGCAATCAATCAGTATTGAAATATTGCATTTTCTGCGCTACTAACACCTCAGCCATTATTTCTAAACGTTCAATTCAACCAAGAAATCAGCAACACACTGTTGCCAGCGCAGCGTTATCAAAACTAGTGCATTCGCTTGGCTAATCATATCATTACAGTAATTAGAATATAAGCAATTGTTACCAAAATAATGATGAATATTCGTGAGATGCCTTACATCGTAAGATAACAGTTCGGATAGCGTATCATTACCGACTTCTTACATCAACACCACCTAGATATAGGTGGCCACCTAATATCTAGGTGGTGTTGCTTACATCCACACTTCAGATAGGATAAACACCAGAGGCGGGATTTCGGATATTT